TAAATAAATTCTGACAGAATACACACAAGTTTTAACTTATATTCTAATAGAATTTACAACATCTTTTTTTATAAAATAAAAACACCAAAATAACATAACTACACATATTAACATCAATTCTAAAAAAATATTTCATTTCTATTTGTTTCTTAAACTTCAATTCCTTAAGAAGTCTAATAAAATATTATCTACTTTACTTCTAATAGAATATTTCAACACAAGTATAAATATGTTACATTAACATATTCTGACAGAATCTTCCTAATAAGTCCAATATATCAAACTTGCCTCTTTTACACAAAACTTTCTCTTTTTGACATTATATCATACACTTGGAAGACATATTTTATTATCAAATACTTAGATAAGACAGGTCCAATTCCATTATTGAATTCTCAATCAATGAAATCCAAATATTTTCAAACAAAGACAAAAGAGAAATCAAACCAAGGGAGAATCATACCTGACAGCTTGAAGACGGTTAGTTGGAGTAAAACACCATGGTTGTTTGTGATTGTTCATGCTCCATGGTATGTGAGGGTATCGATGGAGGGATTACTGACATTACTGAAGCGAAGCAGAAGAACAAATGCGAGAGTCAATGATCAATTTTCCCAAATCGACACTATAGGAGATAAAAAAAGATTACATAAATCATTGAAATCAAGAAAAATCACCATGGGGGACCGGACCGATATTTGAAGGTCAAGAACAAATTAGGGAATCTGAATCTATCAAAATACCTCAACAATTTATGGGTTTAGATCCACAAATCTCTCATGGCTTCTCGACAATCATCATGGCTTCTCGACCAACTTCTGAAGCTCTGCCCAGTTACCAGATCCAAAGATCTCTCTGTGCTCAAACAAAGATTCAAACCCACCAAGAACAACCCTAAAGGACTCTCCGATCTACCTAGGTTGTAAGGAGGACTCGACCTCGCCAGGCTAAAGAACTGGGTGACCGCTACTGGTGGTTTCCACTGGCAGCAAACAGTTTTCGGCCATCTTCAATTAAACAGTCGGTCTCAGGGGGAATCGGTGGTCTGTAGAAGAAGAAGAAGAAGAAGAAGAAGAAGCGGTGGATCATAAACAATGGAGAGTACGATTTATGGCTAAATGTTCTAAATTTATATTTGCTTCTTTCGTGATATCAGGAATATTGATTATCTACCATAATTAACTATGCAAAGATTACTATAATACCCTTAAATGATTTATTTAATTATTTATTTTTTTCTACATTCCTATTGGTTCATTCATGTACACAATAGTTGCTAGAAACATTTGAACCTAGCGCTCTCTCTCTCTCTCTCTCTCTATATATATATATATATATATATATATATATATATATATATATATATATATTCTTAAATATTAAGGATTACTATATTATATATTGTGTAGATGCTTATTCAAAAATCGTATTTTTGTCCATTGTCTTATATACAAGACAAAAAACTAAGTGTCTATTTGGTTTGTTGGAATTCATTCGAAATTCATCTTATTTAATAAATAAAACGGTATTGTCTTGTTTATGTAAGGGCGTGTTCGGCACGAAGCGTTTGGGAGCATTTGAGAGCTTCTAGCTTCTAGCGTTTGACAAAACGCTCCAAATCCAAATGTTACATTATGTAGCGTTTAACAAAACGCTACAAGCTACCCGCTACCAGCTAATTTTGCCGAACACGCTCTAAATAAACTTAATCATTTTAGCAAAATATAAAACAAAATGTATTTTTTAATTGATATATAAAATCATGTTTTAACTAATGGATAATGCCACAAAATAACAATAATACTATTCGATTTGCTCTTTAGATCAACTACTTTTATTGGTAGGACTTTAATTTTTATTTATTTTTATTCTTATTATAGTATTGGAATGAATTTTCGACAATTGTAATTTTTTTCGTATTGGATAACACAGTGGATGTCATATTAACGACAAGCAGACAAAAATAAACAAATCTATCATACTGAATGTCATAGTAGACGTAAGGGATAACCATCAGTCCAATATTTGACCAAAACGGATTCAGAAATGAAGAACCGGTAGTCGATTTAGTAGGAAATAGAGAATCGAAAATTGGACTGAATACTTCAGTTTCGGTTCCAATCGGTTTTGTTTCAGTTCTACAAGTAAATGTGCTCTTTAGGGATGTGTTCAGTTCTGGACTCGGGCCGAACCGGATCGAGAACCAAAGAACCGATAACCGATTAAATGGGAAATGAAAAATCAAGAACCGGACCGAATACCCTGATTTCAGTTCTATTTTTTCTCGGCCCGTTCCAATTCCCCCGAGTCAAATGCTTTCCTCTAGTGGACATTACAGATTTAATATCAATTTATCCGGTTGAAATCAACTCTAGTAGTAAATTCTTTTATTCTTAAATTGAATACAATTGAAAAATAAATAACCCAAAATATAAATAAAATACTATGTTAATTCTACCGTTTAAAAAAAATAATAAATTAAGTACTAAATTGTCCTCATGTGATATTAACCTTTTAGTTTATTACCAAAAATAATAAACATAAACATGCATAAATAAATAAAAAATTATATATAGGTTTACCTAATTCATGACAATTTAGTTATATATTAAAAAATATCTTATCCCTAAACGTTTTAGCATTCAATTCAACTTTAGAAAAGAGTTGATAATGAAACTTTCATGTCTCCATCTTTACCCAAAAAGATTGGTGTTTCGGAGTCCACACGCACCTCCAAAAAATATCCGGGTTTGCGTGGCAAATGTATTACCAATCATGCTATATCTTGTGGGTCAATTTTTATATTGTGACCGTTTGTGTCGGTTACTACCAAAATAAAATTCCATTTTTTTGGCTAATAATACTTTAATTTGTTTTATGTAATATATAATAAAAAATTATCGAAGTTTTGTTTTATTGATACTTATTTGATTTTAGACAACCAAATATTTAATGATTTAATTATGAATTTTAACTTCTGAGGAGAAAGTTTTAATTGTTTTCAAAATGGTTAATTAACAAAACACTAATTTAAGTTACCAATGATATTTAAGAATATTTCTTTCCAAACATCGAAGTATTAAAGATTATATTTTTATTATTAATACATGTCTATTAATGTCCAAAAAGTATAAAAGTTCTATGTTTCCTGATTTGATGATACATGCCACTTTATTGATGTAAATGTGACTTAATTCACAATAAGCTGGAATAGCTCAGTTGGTCAGAGCGTGTGGCTGTTAACCACAAGGTCGGAGGTTCAAGCCCTCCTTCTAGCGTTTTGAACAGTTCTTTATCTTGTTATCTTTAAAATTTTAAAATGGAAGTTTTATATGAATTTATTTATTTATTTATTTATTTTTGTAAAAATCAATGAATATTACTAATGTCATGGGTATATAATAATGAACTAAAATGCTTGTATAATTTGGCCTCGATTTAGTTTTCTTTCTTTTATCTCATTTTTTAGAATGCTTTTATTACATGATGAACAACATGTCCTAAGAGCTCCCTCCATTTATCATCAAATTTCCACAAAAATTTCAGGTGCCAAGAAAATATTATGTTATGTTATTTTAATCGGTATACATCAGACTGTTGTATATCAAATTAATATAATGATTTATAACAAGTGATAACCTAAAATACTAATTGGTTGTAGCAATTTTAAAACTGATTATAAATATCTAATTGTTTGATACCTAATAATTAATAGACAAAATTACCAAAAACAAAGTGATTCGTAAATAAGTAGTAGTGATATTAGATTATGAGTAATCTATTTATTTTTATTTTTTATTTTTTTATCTGATTAAAAGTTTAAAGACTTTTGTAAAAACGATTATTTTAATCATCCCCAATTAAAATCAGTTATCAATTTGTCCAAGAAAATAAAATTAGTTATCTATATTTTAAAAACAAATTAATCATATCATAATTTCAAAACTCCACCCCACCACCACAAAATAAGAACAATATTCTCATTATTGTATTTGTTACAAGAATTTAGTCAAAAGTAGACTAATTTTATTCCATATGCAAATTATATTGTCCATCAAAACCAAAAAATACCATAATTTTTTATATAAAGTTATATAATATATTGATATATTGATATTCGATTTTCCTATCCACTCTTTCCCATAATTTTCATGATAATTTCCAAGAATAATCTGGAAGATTTTCAATCTTTCTCACGAACAAGCAACTGCATACGTCAGCAAAAAAGGGAAAGAAAGAAACAAGCAGAGTATATAATAAAATTGCCGCAAACAAAACCACCACAACCATAATTTCTAATCTCTTCCACATAATACCCTAAACAAATATTCTTGGAATCTTCTTCTTTTGTCCAATTAATTGCCCTTTTCTGATTCTTTAATTACCCCATCTCTCATAAGAAAGTTTTTAATCAATCTTTTCCGTTGATCCAATAAATTTCCTTTTTCTGATTCTCTTTTTTCTTTCTCTGTGTGTGTGTTTCAGTGGTTGTGTGTGTGTGTGAGAGAGAAAATCTGCTTAGAAACTGGAATCAGTTCATCCATAAATATGTGCGTACAAGACGTAGAAAAGGTGTGCGAAGAAATAGACAATCTGGGTCTCTCAACAGATCATAATACAGCTCAATTTGCTTCTGATCAGATCACTCTTTCCAATTCGTTTCCGGTAAGGGAATAAATAAAGATCATTACTTTCTTAATTTTTTATGTTTGAAGTTGGAAATTACCTTTGAATTTGACCAAATTACTTCGATTTCTTCCGTATTCCTTCTTGTTCTGCATATATTTGATAATTTGAGCTGCGTTTTGTCGATTTTCGATTATCGTTCTCTGGTTTTCCTGTTCTTCTGTTTTTGTAACAGTTTGTACTGATATTCAAATTAGGTTGTTTGTTAATACTTCTCCTTTCACTAATTGAAGCTTGATTTGGTTTCCTTTGGGTTTGATTTGGAAGTTCGATCCTTGTTTGTGAATTTCTATAGAAAGAGTAGGTATTCGGTTTTGATTGCAAATTTGCAATAGCTTTGCGAAAAGGTCCTTTTTTGGATGAACTCTGTTAAAATTTTCGGTGGTTGTTTAGAATTGGTTAGGGCTAATTTGGTAAAAAAAGGTATGATTTCCTTCATTCTTTAATGTTTCGAGTGAAATTTCTAAGCATATGTTTGGTTCAATTTGGGATTATGGGAGTTTGATTCTTGAATTTGTTGTTTATATTTGTTTTTGTTTTTAACTTGTCATTGTATAAAGAAAAAAAAAAATAGAAGTATAATGTTATATGTGGGTAGTTTTTTCAGAGTACAATGCCTTGATATAAAAAACTTTAAAGTATAATACACAAATAAATGAAATGTATTGCTATTTCTTTTAGAATCCTTAACAAAGACTGGAAGATTCAACAAAATTGCCACTTATGGGTTTTTGGTTTCTTGTGATTGTGATTTTTGTGGAGTGAAGATCACATGCCAAATTACGTAAATACCCTTTTTTCTAGTCAGCTATATATAAATATTTCTTTTTTTAACTTAATGAAGATAGAACAACTTAAGGAGTGTTTGGGATTGATTTTTTATTTAAGGTGCTTATAAGCTTATTGCAGTTTGGTAATGCTAATAAGCACTTTTGAGTGTTTGGATTGAATAAGACAAAAAGTGCTTATTGACTTAAATAACCAATTTTTGATAAGTTGTTTCTATCTAACTTATATAAAAGTGTGGGAACCAAATTTCTCTTTATCATTGATTTAACCCTAAAAAGCCCTATGATAGTAGCTTCATTTTTCCTTTTTTGATGACCAGTGACACACATACCAATTTACACTTTTACCCCTGTCTTTTTCTTTCATTTTACATGCATAACAAGAATTTGCCAAACACTATGAAAACAACTTATCATCTTATTATGTTTTCGTATCACATAAACTTATCCAAACACTAGTTTCTCACACTGTTTCAAGACTACATAAGCTGATAATTACTTTTTTTGTAAAAACATGAGCTGTTTTTAATAAACAATCACAAACACACCTTAAATTATTTATCACTGAAAAGCAAATAAGTTAACAGCTAAAGGGCAACCCTGATCAGAAATAATGTCAAAAAAATGTTGCCTTTTCTTGATACAATGTTCGAATACAGTTTTTTTTTGAGTAAATTACACGAATGGTCCCTATAGTTTGGGGTAATTTGCATGTTTGGTCCCTAACTTATTTTTTCAACTCGAAAGGTCCCTACAGTTTGTTTTTGTTGCGCGCTTGGCCCCTGTCTTACCTAAAAAGACTATTTTCTATTGATTTTTTAATTTATTTAAATTAGATGGGGTAGGTAAGGTAAGGTAAAATGAGGCGGAAGTGGGGTTGGGTGCGTGTTTATTTAAATAAATAAATAAATCAAGGGCAAAATAGTCTTTTTATGTAAGACAGGACCAAGCACGCAACAAAAACAAACAGTAGGGACCTTCCAAGTTAAAAAAATAAGTTAGGGACCAAACGTGCAAATTACCCCAAACCATAGGGACCATTCGTGTAATTTACTCTTTTTTTTTTCAATGCTTTCTTATTTTTATCCACATTTGGATGCCATTTAGACTTTCATTTATTACAACCTTCAAACTCTATAAAAGTGACTATAAATTTTATTAATCTTATCAAATTTTCGTCAGATGGAGAGCATTTGTGAGGATACAGTTGTTGCAGAGGAGAAACAGAGTAATTTCACCCCAATGCTTCGGTCTGGAGAGTGGTCTGATATTGGACATCGACCCTACATGGAAGATACTCACATATGCATTCAAGACTTAGCTAAAAACTTCAATAACAAACTTCACAATGAAGAAACCGTTTCATTCTATGGGGTATGTTTTTTTTTTTTATTCAAATTTTCATAAACAAGAAGTTCATATCCCTAGTGGGCCCCTGTGAGATTTCTTGGCTTCCCGTACCTGATGTACATCTCACATGATGTTTGGTGACTAGATAGTGTGGACCAGCTTAGGGGTTGTTGAAAGAATAACCTTTTTATAGAAAAGATGTTGAAAACTAATGATTGGTTTTTTTTGGGGGAAAATAGGTGTTTGATGGGCATGGAGGAAAGGGTGCATCACATTTTGTACGTGATAATTTGCCAAGAATCATAGTTGATGATGCTAATTTTCCATTAGAACTTGAGAAAGTGGTGACAAGGTCATTTATGGAGACAGATGCTGCTTTTGCTAGGTCATGTGCTCTTGAATCTGCTCTTTCTTCGGGCACAACTGCACTTACTGCTATGATATTTGGGAGGTTAGTTGATTGTGTTCTTTTTTTATTTTATTTTATTTTATTCTCTTTGATATTTTGTTTCTGTTTGAGTGAATCTTTTTGTGCTTCTAAAGGCTTCGATGGTTATTAAGTGTGGTTTATACTTAGTATCCTAGAAAGTTTGACTATTTGACAAAGTGGCTAAAATATATTTTAAAAATGACGAAATAGAGGAATCTTGTTGACGTAGGTTGATATCTTGAGTTCTGTGTAACGATGACAACGGGTAAATAAGATGCTGCATTTTTTTAGGCCAAATACCAAAAAAGTCACAAGTTTTACACACGAAGTTGGAAAAAGCCCTAATTGTTCTTTGGTTGGTAAAAAGCATAAGTTTTTAGAAAACCTTTCATTTTTAACCTTTTATCCGGTCATTAACCGGTCATCCCTATTTTTTTAACAAAATGGAAGGTTTTCTGAAAATTTATGTTTTTTACCAAAACAAAAAGTTAGGGCTTTTGCCAACAAAACGTGTAAAACTTGAGACTTTTTTGTATAAAATACCAAAAAATCCCAAGTTTTACACACTTTGTTGGCAAAAGCCCTAACTTTTTGTTTTGGTAAAAACCATAAGTTTTCAGAAAACCTTTCATTTTTAAAAATGAAAGGTCATCTGAAAACTTATGGTTTTTACCAACCAAAAAAAAAAAGTTAGGGCTTTCGCCAACTTCGTATGTAAAACTTGGGACTTTTTTGGTATATGCCCCATTTTACTTAATGGTTAACGGGGACAACATTATTCAGATAAGCTATATATATAGAGGGAATGACTTAACATAAAAATTAAGAGAAATAAGGATTTTCCTTTATATCCTAACCTTTTACAAATTTACCCCCGGTGTATTTTCTCCTTCGATTTCCACACACGTCTCTAATTTTCTCATATATATATTTTAAACATCAATATTGGTAAATGATGTATGTTGTGTTCATAAAGTTTGTTTCTTTTTTGAACCGAACTGTCTAAACGAGACTAAATGATCATTTTACCCTTACTCAGGTCTCTCCTTGTGGCCAACGCGGGAGACTGTCGAGCAGTCCTCTCTCGACACGGACTAGCTTTCGAGATGTCAAAAGACCACCGACCGTGCTACGAAAAAGAACGTGTCCGGATCGAATCCCTAGGCGGCTTCGTTGAAGACGGCTACTTAAACGGTCAATTAGCCGTGACTCGAGCCATCGGTAACTGGCACATCAAAGGGCTCAAAGAAACCGGGACCCACATGGGCCCACTAATATCCGAACCCGAGCTCAAACTCATAACCCTAACAAAAGAAGACGAGTTTTTGCTAATTGGAAGTGATGGGATTTGGGACGTGTTTAGGAACCAAAACGCGGTGGATTTTGTCAGGCGGCGGTTGCAGGAGCATAATGATGTGAAGCGGTGTTGTAAGGAGATGGTGGAGGAGGCGATGAAGAGAGGGGCGATGGATAATTTGACGGTGGTGGTTGTGTGTTTTCAGGCGGAACCGCCGCCACATGTGGTGGTGCAGAGGGGGAGAGTCAGGCGGAGTATTTCGGCCGAAGGGTTGCTGAATCTTAAGTTTCATCTTGAAGGGTGATGAAGAGATTGATTTTTTTGTTGTAACGTTTTTGGAACATTTGGAGATGATGATGATGTTGATGATGATGATGAAAAGTTTGAGTAATTGTTGTAAATACATTCATGTGACGGAGGGAAATAAATTATTAGAGGATACTTGTTGTGTCTTTAGAGCAGGGGAAACGATGTGTACGTAAATACATAAAATGTTGATTTGACATTTTGTAAATTTATTTGTGGTTTCGTAGTCTTTATACGTTTTATGTGCTTGTATGGGGTTTTTTTGTAAATCTTGTTTTGGATGTTTTATTTTAACAACTGTACTAATTAAAAAAAAAATCCTAAAACATCATGCAGTAAAAAGTTAATAGTTATCAATAAGTTCTGTAGGACTTTCAAAAAATACATTTTTCATTTTAGCATAAAAAAAACATACAATGTCACTGACTTGATCATTTATCAATTCAAGCCGGAAATCATCGCGGACAAGCTCGAACAATAAATAATGCATGTTTAATTTGAGGGAGTTTTGGGTTGTCGAAGTTTGACTTTACAATCAAAATCTAATTTTTCATCGATCTTAAGAACGTAACAAAACTTTATATGCAATATACAAACATTTACATCAAGTTAAATGTATACAATTTTAACCAACAAATTTCAATGAAACTAAGGGACTGTATTCTTTCTGTGGGTAAAAAATTTCATCGGTCAGAAAAGGACATATGTAGACCAAGGAAAAGGACCACATAAGGATTCCAAGAAGTAACTTTATGGTTAAATTTAATGATCTAACAAATTTCCCTCCTACGGTGGTCCCACCATGGGAAATTGTTAGTTATTGAACAAGTGTGAGAAGTTGGCACCGTGGTTGATGTGTTCATTGCAAAGAAAACATCCAAGGTGGGCAAGATGTCTAGCTTTGTGAGGTAAATACGGGTACCATATTTCCAAGACCTATTACACAATCTTTGTGATTTGTGGATTGGCAATTACAATGGACATATGCATAAAAGAAAAACCGTGTATTCATTAATCACAGAAAAACCGTGTATTATTATTCATTAATCAAAGATTACACCATCCTAATATATATATGGAAAGATACTATTAGATAAATACAATTAGGTACCCTCTAATATAAACAATGTATTATGCTAAACTAAACTTAGTTTAACATTCCCCCGCAAGCTACGCAATTATCGCAGTCAAAATATCAATAGCGGTCAGATGCCGCTATTTGAAAACGCGGTTATCACGGTGGTATAGCGTTGGTATAACGGTTTTTTAATATTACGTATAATCTATACTTTTATATTTTATATTTATATAGAGTTTATATATTAGAGTATTAAATATTATATATTACACAAACATATATGATATATGGACACAAATTAAGAATTTAAAATCATAACTATATAAATTCACTAATGTATGTTCCTAATGGCTAAATCACGTATTCCCACTGAGTGATCCACTGCTTTTATGCTTCATAAATTCATAAATTGTATTGATTGCTTCATAAATTCCAAAATTAATGAGTCCATAAGTGTGAATCATTTAAAGATAAACATTTAACATTAAAGAATTAAAGAAAACATCACATTTAACATATAACATTTAATATAAAGTCATAGTGAGTGATTGAAGCATTTGACAGTGACGAGTTTATAAGTGTGAATTGTTAAACATTGTATGTGACATTGTGTGTGTATAAAGTAAAGGAATAAAGGAAACAACACATACCTTGTACTGTGGAATAGCCAAATCGCCAAAATGTGAACAAAAGTGAAAAATCGGTTGTAGCGCCACTATTGCGGTGATGCGTATCGCGGTAAATAGTGCTCAATAGCGCTGCTAATAGCGCCACCACTATTTGTAAACACTATTTTGAAATAGCGGTTTCGTACCACCGATAAATGCTATAGCGCCGCTATAGCGCACTATTGATAGCATAGCCTGCAAGCTAAGGGCGGGGAACAACCCGTAGCTTGGATCGTAAGAACATAAATCTTTGAGAAGGCAACGAATTTGTAAAAAACGTCAGCGATCTGATCAATAGTGGAATTGAATTGAACACGTAGTTGACCGGAAGCAACCCGCTCACGAACGAAGTGAAAATCCACTTCAACATGTTTAGTGCGTGCATGAAATACTGGGTTAGCAGAGAGGTAAGTAACACATAGATTTTCACACCAAAGAGTAGGTGGATGTTTCACTGAGACTCCTAGTTCGTTGAGAAGAGCTTTCAGCCAGATTAATTCAACAACCGTATCTGCAAGGGCCTTGTACTCCGAATCAGTTGAGGATCTTGATATAGTACACTTTTTGTGTGCAGTCTATGAGATCAAGTTCGAACCCAAATATATAGGAAATCCTCTCGTGGAACGCCGATCATCAGGACAACCAACCCAATCCGAATCCGAGAAGGCACGAAGGGAAGTAGGTGCAGAGTGGTGCCAATGGACATCCGTAAATGCTTGTAAAGAGGAGCCCGAATTGTGTCGAAGAAGAAGTCGAAAATCAGTTGTGCCCTGTAAATAACGCAAGATACGTTTGATTGCAGACCAATGGTTTTCGGTAGGTGCATGCATGAATTGACACACTATGTTGACAACATAAGCAATATCAGGGTGAGAAGTACTAGCGTACTGAAGAGCTCCAACCAATTGTCTGTAGATAGTTGGATCCAGCAGAAGAGGACTGTCATGAAGAGATAAGACCTGAGTGGTGGTCATTGGAGAGCTCACCAGTTTGCAATCCTTTAGACCCAAACGATGAAGGATGTCCAAAATATACTTCCTTTGGGATAGTATGAGATCAGAATCATGAGAAAGAACTGTTGGATTTGGTGTCTAAGCCCATAACTATAACGGGGATGTACTTGACCCGATTATAGCATGGTCCTTTTGGGTTGCCTTCACCAGTGCAATTTGATAGGATGGACTTTTGAGAATAAGGTTATTTATGATTTATTAATATATTACAAGTATAATATATTAATATGAAATCATATTATTTAATTAGTATTGATCAAAAATTAATTTGGAATTAATTTTGTGATCAAAAGAGACTAATTAAATATATGAGGATTGATTGTGTAAATTGTAACAACGTAAATTCCAAAACAATTTTTCACTTTTAAAAATATACTTTCATTCATAAATATTATCAATCTCAATGTA